GCAAACAGAAGGCCCCACCGAGCCTCCTCACCTCGGAGTCTGGGGTGTTTGCTCTCAGAGACTCATATGAATGGTCAGACTGAACCCAAAAGATCTGATTCCAGAAAAGTCACACAACAAAGTTATACAGTGTGAACTCCAACGTGGTTTAATACAGCGAGGATCTGTGATTTCTTCTAGTTCATAGAGCAATTTCATGAGACTCTCCTGAAAAGTAAGCTCTGAACATTCATGAAAAGACTAAGGGCACATAAATCTATGTCACAACTCAGAAACACAATGAGATTTTGTTTTGTGGGGGGAGGTATAGTTTGAGACAGGGTTTCTCTTTAGCTTTGGAGCCTGTCCTGAAACTTACTCTGTATACCAGGCTGGCCTTGAACTTATGAAGATCTGCCTCTCTCTGTGCTACCACTACCCAGTGAGAATTTTGTAATTAACAATTAATTATTTTAATGAGTTGCCCAATAATTTAATATTTTAGTATTTATTCATGTCAATGATAAGTTATGATCTTGAAGATTAAACCTACCTTACATGATGAGACAGCTGAAGGTAAAATACAACGTTGGGTCAAATTAATTTGAGGGAAAATAAAAATCTATGCCTTTTTCAAATAATAAAATATTTAATCATATTATATTTTCTTCACTTAAAACAGAAACAGTTTCTTCTTGGTGATAATCCTAAATCTTGATGCCTTTAAATTGGAAAATGAGAAGTATAGATATTTTCATTCATTTCTCTAAAGTTTTAATGATAAAAATGGATGTTACTATTTCAAAAGCAACCTTGATAAGCAATAAATCAGAGCTATGCATATCCCCAAAAGCACATAACAAGAGCACAGAGGGCAACCACAGGAAAAATGGCTACGGCCATGTCCTAGAATAATCTGAATTTTAACAACTACAGGTGAAGAAAAAAAGCTACTCCTACTTTCAGTATCATCTGTAAAACAGAAAGGGTGGGCTCCTATGAACTTTCTAACAACTACTTTTCATAAGAATGTCCTATTATGGGCACTGAACCCCACCGAGGGACCTGGAGCAGAACGAAACAGCCAGCTCCATTGGCCACCATTCCAGGCTTGCCCCTCCACCCTCCAGTAGAGAGAGCCTTCATCCAGTGACTGATAGAAGCAGAGGCAGACACCCACAGCTAAATACTGGACTGAACTCAAGGAACCCAGTTGCAGAGAGGGAGGAGTGATGAGCAAAGGGGTCAAGACCGGGCTGGAGAAACCCACAGAAACAGCTGACCTGAACAAGAGGGAGCTCACGGACTACAGACTGATGACTGAGAGGTTAGAATGGGACTGATCCAGACCCCCTGGGCGTGGCTATCAGTGAGGAGGCCTTGGCAATCTATGAGGCCTTGGGTAGTAGATCAGTATTTATCCTTGGTATACAAATGGACTTTGGGAGCCTATCCAACATGGAAGGATGCTCTCTCAGTCTGGGTACAAGGGGGAGGGTCTAGGCCCTGCCAGGGATGATATGACAGACTTTGGAGATCACCCCATGGAGGGCCTCAACCTCCCTGGGGGATGGGGGGGTTGGTAGGGAGCAGGGGAGGAGGTGAGGGAAAGGGAGCTGGGATTGACATGTGAAGCAAGCTTGTTTCTAATTTAAATTTTAAAAAGTGGAAAAAGAAAAAAGAAGAATATCCTATTATCTTAATTTACACAATTCACTATGTGACATAACTGCTTTGTACACAGTAAATAGAAGTAGCACCAAACAGGCAGTAAACCACCATCATCACTGACTTTAGAAGGCAACATCTAAATTCTTTTCTTATATTATTTCCATGGAGCATTTCATCTGTAAACAGTTTCAGAATCTACAACTTTTTCCACTACCGTCATGAACATGCTTTAAAGACAAGAGTTCCCCATAGCAGCATGCCTCCAAGCTCCCCAAAGTTTCAGAGAGAAAAATCCCACCAGACTCCTGCAACTGTGCTTCTCAAACCACAGTCTTCATGTATTCAAGTCTATAAAATTCACTCCTGAGAATGTTTAATTGTATAACTCAAATTCTCCATAACATAATAATATGTGTGTTTCCAGTAAAGTGGTGTCACTTAGAACCTCTTTGATGGTCAATGAGTAATGTAGACAAGAGCCATAACAGAACTAAAATATAAACACATTCATGTCCACATGAGGACCAAATGTGTCACCCTTCCCAAACAAAAGGTTTACTAGTAGCTCAAAAAACTGAGTCATCACATTAACTACATGGCTGTTAAAATCAAAAGAAGCTATAACATAGGTTAATACATGCGTATTATAAACATATAAACCTATCAAGTTATCATCTATAACATTAACTTAGCATAATTATTTATACAGCATTATAGTGATTACAAATGCAGCACATCTGATGATTTATTTCCTAAGTATCATTTGTTATGAATTAGTATTAATATTTCAGCATATTTCTATGGTAATAACACTGTAGTCAACAATAGGGGTTCAAGAAAATATCTGCAACAGTAGGGTGCATGGCTTGAGTAAGAGGAAACAGCTATTTACCCAACATCTGCTGTTGCTCTCAAAGGGGAACGGATGCCAACAGGGAAGCAGATAAAGGTTCTTGACCTTATACATGAAAAGCAGGCTGCAGAATCCCTTCACATTTGAGTCTCCGAGTTTCTCGACTCAAAAGCTGACAACACCATAGCCACACTACAAGTACTCCAAGCAAAAGAGGCTGCCCAGAAAGCAGTGGACAAAGGGGTCCTAAATGACTAAATTTGATCAGAGACCTAAATAAATAAATAAATAAATAAGCAAAAAAAACCCTCATGCTTTGTAGAAGAAAATTATCTAAATATTAAAATTTTTAATATTATGAAAAAAATGCAGAAATACACAATAAATTTGAAAAGGAAAGGAAACTTTGAAACTTATGTATTGAGCAAATGCCCAGTATAGCAAGCAATGCTAGTCCTGGATTAATTGATTTAAAAAATGGTAAAATATCAAAACAAATTAATGTTTTATAGACCATAAAAATAATTTTCAGCAAAGTACAAAAATGTCAAGCATCCCTGTCTTTGAGCTTGTATTCTTTAATGTGGAATAGCTTAAGCTGTCCATTCTGTGTTATATAGCAGAACTGGTAACTGAGCACAGAAACACAATTTGAATTATAAAATTCTTGCTCTAATAAAAATTCCTTAAACGGTGAAAAGAAAGAAGTCAGTGTCTTGAAGTAATACAAGAAACAATTAGATTCTAGGTTTCCTACCTTTTTTTTTGTCAAGAATCTCATTGTATATATAGCCTTGTCTGGCCTGGAATTCTATGTAGATGAGGCTGGTCTTGAACTCACAAGTAATCCTCCTGCCGCTGCCTCATAGGATTAAAGGGATGTACACCTCCTAACTCCATAAGATACTGGTTGTGCTTGGACCCAAAGTACTGGATCTAGGGAGAAAGATCTAGACTAAAGACTGACAAATCATGGCTAATACATCAGATCACAACCATGCTCATGTTCTTTCAGACACAGAGTACCTGGTATTTCAGAGAGCTCTGATAAAGGCAAAGAAAAGTAGAGTCCTTTTCCTCACTCAGAAAGATAAATTATCTTAGTAAATTACAAAGCATCAGCCTATAATTGCTATTTTTTAAAAAAACAAGTTTTAAATATTAAATTTTACACAGGCTTAGGTCAAGCAACATTAAATTAATAAAATAAGTGTGCAACTAATCTTGAATTTCTATTCAACTACAAATTTTTAAAAGAAAATACTTCTCAAGATAAAGTTTATAGTAGCTGATTTTCATCTCAACTATGATGGTTTGGGGTTTTTTGTTGTTGTTATTGTTTTAGTTTGGTTGCTATGGTCTGGTTTTTTGAGACAGGGTTTCTCTGTGTAGCCCTGGCTGTCCTGAAACTCACTCTGTAGACCAGGCTGGCCTTGAACTCACAGAGATCCACTGCCTCTGACTCCCAAATGCTGGGATTAAAGTCATTCGCCACCACTGCCTGGCCCAAAGTATGAGCTCTAGAACCATATTTATATGTATACATGTAGCACATGTATGATTTCTTCTCCCAAACTTCTGCTTGGCTTTACAAATGAAAGGCTGCATGGTGGCTCACATAATTTGTATGTATTACTTATGATACGAAGACCCAAACAAATGAAAATTATAGTTTTAAGCAAATTTTATCTCAGGTTAAGAGTTGCCTTGTCTAAATGGGACATAGCTGAAACTGAAAAGCCTAGAAGGGTGTGGTAACCCACACCTGTAACCCCAGCACTAAGGCAAAGCAGGAAGGTCTTCAGGGAAGACAGCTAAAGCTGAACAGCAAGACTGTCTGAAAACAGAAAAAAAAAAAAGCCTAACAATACTCAGTGTTCCTTAGACCGTGGAACAAGTTCAGCCTTCCCACGGGCAGCAGAGTGGGGTGGAACTTAATATGCCTTTCTGTGTTGTCCATCACGCAACACAAACCTGGTCAATCTCCCTGCAGATGTCCTGATCACAATGCCCAGGACAGAAAGCTCTTTTAAAGTTTTCTCAAGGGCATTTCCACTAATGATTGACCTCTGCTAACAGAAAGCAAACCAAAACAGCACTAAACACAGTAACATGAACAAAGCCTAAGAGTTAATTTACAAAATCTACAAGATACGCTACCACTGCAAAGAAAGTTCACAAAAATAGACCCAGGCAACTCGGTGAGTTGTACTGTTTAATAGTAATCTCAGCATGACAGATGCAATAGAAAACATCCAGAATGAGTAAACAAGAGAAAGAATAAAGAAAGTGGTGATGGGAACTGTCAAAAACACGTCAATGTGCCCCAGTGTCACGTTATAAAGAAGACGTAAGAAGGCAGAGTAACTTATGAAACCAGCGTTATCTGCTATAGCAATCAAACTTCAAAGGGTTGCCTGCTTACTAGTCTTCTCTAAGTTTATTACTCGATATTGTGAAGTCATGACCTTAGAGAGAAGGAAAAGGGGACACTTACCGGCAGTGAAAATTCCTCAGCCAGGTACTTCAGTAAGGACGCTTGTTTGGCCAAGAACTTGTTCCTTTCTTTGATGTTGCCCTGAAGCTGAGGATCGAACTCCTTTCTGACCACAGAAGCAATGGAGTCAACAATCACAAGCTTAACTCCTTTGGAAATAATCTCTTCTTCCAAAGATTCAAGCCTAAGAAAGTAGAATTTGTAAAATGGTGAACAAATTTAAGACATAATTTTATTTATGTGTCTTTTCAGAAGATGGAAGAACATTGTATTAGGGTTTGAGAGAAAAGTTAACCACAGGATGGGCAAGCTGTAAATCCTGGTAGCTTCTGAGAGGAGGGAGCTAGGGGAGAAGAGACAGCATCATTCCCTTTGGGTTAGGGTCAGTAATATAGGTCACAAGGATCTGTGAGGAGAAGGGAGGGTCAGAGAAAACAATGAGAAAGCCCAGAGTTTGAGAACAAACATGACTGGGATTTCCATTGGTACCCAGTAAAGAGATAGAAAGTGGGAAGACGGAAAGTCATGCTTTTGGAGTTAGAATTCTGAAAATTGGGCAGATTTAACAATGAAGATCTGTAAGTAACTGCTGAGACATAAGTTTTTAAAGCAGAGTTAAGGGCCGGGTGGTGGTGGCGCACGCCTTTAAACCCAGCACTCGGGAGGCAGAGACAGGCAGATCTCTATGAGTTCGAGGCCGGGCTGCACTGACAGCCTCCAAAACAATACAGAGAAACCCTGTCCTAGTAAAACCAAAAAAAAAAAAAAAAAAAAAAAAAAAAAGCAGAGTTAAGGGGCTGGAGAGATGGCTCAATGGTTAAGAATACTTGCTCTTGTAGAGGACCGGGTTTGGTTGCCAGCACCCACATGGTGGTTCACAGGCATCTGTAACTCTAGTTCTAGTGGATACCACCCCATCTTCCAACCTCCAAGAGCATCAGGCATGCAAGTGGTATACAAACATGTAGGCAAACACTCATATGCATAATATAAAATAAATAAATCTAAAACAACAATAATACTGTGGTGTTAAAAATATTAATCGGCTTTAAAACAGTAAGCCAGGTCTGGTGGCACAGATCTGTAGTCTCACTACTCAGGAAGTTGAAGAAAGAAGTTTGCATCTAAAGGCTACTGGGCTACAGTGGGAGTACAAAGCCATAATGGGTAATTTGGCATGACCCTGTCTCAAAATAAAAAATTTTAAAAGAGCTAGGATGCAGCTCTTTGATAGAGCACTTGCCTGAAACACACTGGGCCCTAGGTTCAATCCTAGAAGCGCGCACGGCGAGCACTCTCTCTCTCTCTCTCTCTCTCTCTCTCTCTCTCTCTCTCTCTCTCTCTCTCTCTCTCTCTCTCTCTGTCTTTCTCCTAAGTTGCAGTGGTGACTATAATTTTCAGCACATATAACTTAGTTCAGCCCAGCACTCCTATCATATTGCATTCTTCTGGAAACAGAGACAATATTTTCATGTTGTCCTACAAGACTACAAAACCTGTAATCTTAAAGTAAAACTACTGTGGTAGCCTGTCACCAGAACGGCTGCCCCTTGTTCCCATCTCCTGGTATGTCACATCTTCATATGAATATGTCCTCTCTGTGTGTATATGCCCTCCCACGTGGTGCAATAGTTGGTCTGAGTGACAAAAGCTTTTGACAACAATGGTACTCTTGTTCTAGACAGTAGGCACAAAGACTACAACCTTCACATGTAAGAAATAAGGAGTGAGGTTGGAAACAGGTGCCAACTGCTGCCCTGGCCAACAGCAGAGCAAGAAACCCAGCAAAGCCACACCCGTTGCCCAGCCCCCAGAAAATAGATATTTGCTGTTTTAAGCTGCTACACTTTGAGGTATTTTGGTAACAAAACAACACATAATTAATGAACCACTTAGATGATAAAATATTCATTTAAATGGTTTTCCACTTTAAAGAAATATTTCAAAAAACTACAACAAATAAAGAGTACAGAAATATTTATTTCCCTAATTATATTTCATAGGAATTTTTTTACTTAGAAGCTGAAAATATGGAGGAGGAGGAGGAGACGACGACGACGAAGAAGAAGAAGAAGAAGAAGAAGAAGAAGAAGAAGAAGAAGAAGAAGAAGAAGAAGAAGAAGAAGAAGAAGAAGAAGAAGAAGAAGAAGAAACCCTCAAACCATCATAAAACGTCAAAATCTGAAATTGCCTACCTTTGCAGAACTGCCTCACAGCTGAGTTCCCGGTGAAGATGAACTTTACTGCTCATCAGAAGCAGTTTTTCTTCAGTGTTAAAATAGAGTGGAAAACGGCATTCTGCAATCTCGACCAGTCTGTGGAGAAAACGGAGAATACAAGAGAAAACAGTGAATACTGAAAGTCACACTGTTGAGTTTCCAACACATGCTACCTGGGAAATCCCTAAGATTTTTCCATTGTCAGGTGCAGGCCAAAGGTTGGAAACACAAGCCTGGAATGCACCAAGCGTCCCCTGTCCCCCATGTGAATTAGCAGAGGGCAGCTGTCAGAACAGACCCTAGCAAGGCTTCTGGGTCTCACCAAACTTCCAACAAGCAACAATGTCTTCAAGATTTCATTTTCTGGAAATAATATGTTTACAAGTAACATTTTTGTCTAGCAACTATTTTAACATACTTGAAATTAGAAAAAGTTTTCAGTTGCTTGAATGAACAAAATCTATTTCAATTAACATAGTATGTTTTCCTAGTGATAACTTATATCTAAGTTGGCATGTCTCATTCCAGGAAAAAAATATGCTTTCTCAAATTAAAATTTAGTGCTATCTAGTAGTTCCTTGGTAAACACAAACGTATTGTTTAAACAAGTGGTTGCTACCCAGTTACTACTTAGTAAACAAAAAGTTATTTTCTAAATACCGAATTCATACCCTGAGTATAAATCTCATAATATATGGCAGGTCAAGTGAAGAGTGACATATAAAAACAAAAATGGCATCATTATTTAACAGAATGAAACATAAAGGGCATTACTAAAAGTTACGAATGTATAAAATTTAAAAGTGAAAAAAACTCTTGAGCATAACTGTATCCCATTTAAAATGGCATTTGTCAGTCCTATTTGGTCATTCTGGGGACCTGGAACAGAAATTGTAAACACTAGGCTATCCCATATTCTATGTTCAAGTTAGAGACACAGAAGTGAGGAAAGCAGACAGAGGCACAGGGACTAAAGGGAGGACAGGAAGTGAGGAAAGCTAAGACAGCTGCACAGGGACTAAAGGGAGGGGACAGGAAGTGAGGAAAGCTAAGACAGCTGCACAGGGACTAAAGGGAGGGGACAGGAAGTGAGGAAAGCAAAGACAGCTGCACAGGAACTAAAGGGAAGAGGACAGGAAGTGAGGAAAGCTAAGACAACTACACAGGGACTAAAGGGAGGACAGGAAGTGAGGAAAGCTAAGACAGCTGCACAGGGACTAAAGGGAGGGGACAGGAAGTGAGGAAAGCAAAGACAGCTGCACAGGGACTAAAGGGAAGAGGACAGAAAGTGAGGAAAGCTAAGACAACTACACAGGGACTAAAGGGAGGACAGGAAGTGAGGAAAGCTAAGACAGCTGCACAGGGACTAAAAGGAGGACAGGAAGTGAGGAAAGCTAAGACAGCTGCACAGGGACTAAAGGGAGGGGACAGGAAGTGAGGAAAGCTAAGACAGCTGCACAGGGACTAAAGGGAGGGGACAGGAAGTGAGGAAAGCTAAGACAGCTGCACAGGGACTAAAGGGAGGACAGGAAGTGAGGAAAGCAAAAAAGAAATGATGTGCCATTGGTCATAGAAGATGGACAAGCTGGGAAGTTTGTTAGAAACATGATGATGCAACTATGCAGTAAGTTCAGCACTCAGTCAGTGTATGGACAGGAGTTACTGTTGTTCACATTTGCCGTGCTGAAGAACTATACTGAACAGTCAGCAACATACCATCCTATATGAAATTTTCTACAGGTCTCTCCAGACAATTTTTATTTTAGGAAACATTTTTAAAAATATAAATCAAAGCTAAGTATAAATGAAGTTTTCTACATTCCAGTAGTCTCCTATGACAATCTTCTTTACAAGACCTTGTTTTTCAGGACAAACAACAGAAAAACCTCTTTTCCTCCAATAATCATCCTTGAAAACAGTGCCACCTACTGGATATCTTTTAATTAATAAAAAAAAGCATTCCTTTGAAAAGATTCATTTAAAATTCATTCATTCAGCCAGGCATGGTGAAACACACCTTTAGTCCCAGCACTTGGGAGGCAGAGGCAGATGGATCTCTGTGCATTTAAGCCAGCCTGGTCTACAGAATGAGTTCCAGGTCAGCTAGGGATACACAGAGAAACCCTGTCTCAAAAAAATAAATAAATAAATAAAAATAAAAAAAGAAAAGAAAATCCATTCATTCAGGATTTACTGAGGACCTACACAATGTGCCAGACACTATTATAAGTACTGAACATATGGCATTACAACATCCCCCAAAAAAGGAAATGAGTAACATCAGGGAAAAAGACAGTTACATTCTCCATGTGCTGGCTAGATTTATGTCAACTTGACAAACCATAGTCATCTAAGAGGAGGAAACCTTGACTGAGAAAATGCCTCCATATGACTGGGCTGTAGGCCAGCCTGTAGAGCATTTTCTTAGTGGCTGATGGGGGAGGGCCCATTGTGGGTAGGGCCATTCCGGCCTGGGCTGGTGGTCCTAGGTTCCATAAGAAAGCAGGCTGAGAAAACTATGGCAAGTCAGTAAGCAGCATTCCCCCATGGCTTCTGCATCAGCTCCAGTCTCCAGGTCTCTGCTCTGTTTGAGTTCCTGTCCTGATAATGAACAGTGATGTGGAAACGTAAGCCCAATAAACCCTTCCCTCCTCAAGTTGCTTTTTGGTCATGTGTTTTATCTAAGACACTCGAGAAGGAGAGAAAAACAAACATCAGAGGCCAGCTACAGTGCTCTAGAGAACACTGAAGTACAATGAGGCAGCAGAAAGGTGAAGCAAGTGGTGTTTCATGCAGAGTTGACCAGGCATTTGAGCAAAGGCTTAAAGATGAGAAAGTGAACAATGCGCTGTCTGGAAGGACAGGGAGCTGCAGCAGGTAAGATCCCTCGCATCACTGCACAGTGAAAAGGATAATGCAGCTGGAACACAGGGAGCGGGAAAGAGCAAAAGGGGAAAGTCAGAGAGCTAGCCATAGATCAGGGTCCCCTCAGATCCTCAGATCCATGGTCATCTGTTTGGAGTTTATTAAGAAAAACGAGAAGTCTGGGAGCAAAACTGACAAGATCAGGTTTCCTTTTTTAACAGCCCATTACCTTACCCATTCAGCCACCACATCGCACATAGGTTTCCTTAAAAATAAAAAATAAAAAGGCTGCTCTGGGGGATGTCTTAATGCTAGAAAGCACTTGCTGCTCTTTCAGAAGACGAAATTCATTTCCCAGTACCCACATGGTGGCCCAAAACTACGCTTAACCCCAGATCTTGGGGGTCTGCCACTCTCTTCTGGCTTCTGTGGCATCGGGCACACGTTGCTCCTACATACATGCAGGCAAAACATTCATACACATAAGATACAAAATAATAAATCTCTCTTTTTTTTAAAGTGTGCTCTAGAGTCCGGGAAGATGGCTCTGCAGGCAGGAGTGCCTCTATACAAGCATGAGAACCTGAGTTCAAATCCCAACTATGGAAGCAGAGACTGAAGGATGACTGAGGCTTGATGGCTGCTAGCATCCTCTCTCACTCACACACACACACACACACACACACACACACACACACTCACACGCACGCACGCGCACATACACACACACACACGCATGCACACACGTGTCATGCATTGGCTCTAGATGTCAAATGGAGAAAGCTATAGAAAGGGCAAGGGTGAAAACAGGATGAGCAAATACTGAAATCCATACAAGAAATGATGGTGACCTGACCTAGGGAAGTAATACTCAGATAATTAGATGTCCCTGGATTTAAAGCATAATTCAAAGGGGGAGCAGGAAGAATTGGATCAATTAGATGAATATATAGAAGAATGGAGATTCAGTCAGGATTTTCTTTATTGGTTTTCTTCCTGTGTTCGATTTTTTATGGGGGAATCCAGAATTCATCTTCAGATATATCAAGTTATATGTAAACATAACTATAACATGCTATTATATCAAGCAGCAAATGTATATGAATCTGGGGATTGTAGGAAACCTCAGAACATGAACCCGCGAGCCTTCTGCCAATCAAGAAACTTGCTAAAATCATGACACTGGATATCAGAGATTCAGGACCAATGGAGGAGGAACAAGATCCCAAATCTGTGGATCCAGCAACACAGATTAAAGAAGTAGTCAGAAGATAGGAATCAAATCAAGAGAGACTGACTGCTGCTAGGAAGCCAACTAAAGGGAACAGCTGTTCAAGGGGACAATCACCAGCAATCAGCAGTGCTACACTACTGAACACATGGTGGGTCCATGACGGGGCTGCAAAGGTCCCACTTCCTAGTGACATCACAGCCAACATACTGTCAACAGACAATGCACTATTCACAGGCTTATAGTAATGTTGGTGTACACAAACTTACTATGTTACCAGTCATGTAAAAGCACAGTATACACAATTATGCACAATATATAACACTTGGTGATGACAGCGGATTGTTGTTACTGGTTGTGCTTACTCTGCCAGCAATTGATATTACAGCATTTTTAAGTTCTGTAAAGCACAATGCAGTGGCTTTGCATTGTTTCTGCTCACCATGGCTCCTGACTGTATACAGAAGTCATATCCATGATAAACAAATGTGAGTAACTACCCTCTAATGGAATCACAGGAAAAACTGTCTCATGATACAGTTCTCAGACCATACCATCACCATTAAGCAACACATGGCTGTATTTCAAATACTACTGAGTTAAATAAAGTTTTGAAAAATCAATTTCAATATAGGGCAAGGAGATAAAGCCAGTATGGAATGAATTCAAGATAAAATAATGGGGAGATTTTTACTTCTGGACACAAAAGACTAACTGGCTTGGGAATTGCCCTGATAGCATCAACAACTAGAAAAGCAGACAAAATATCTGAAATAACAGTTTCACACACTGAACAATAGTTAAAAACTGTGGCCCTCATGAGAAAGGAAACTAATAAAGGAACCTGAAGTGTGTCCCAGGCTCACACCAGAGGCACTTTCCATTCTACAAAACAAAAAAGGGAAGCCAAAATGAGTCTGGTGGACCCTGAGTGGAGAAGATGAGATCAGAGTTTGGGAAGGCCAAGCTGGTAGACTCAAGTACAGAAAAGCAGAGGTGT